GGTTGTAACCTAAAGGAGTTTCAAGATTAAAATTATAACTAAACATTATTAATCATATTAAGCAATATAAAGGAAATGGGTAGAAATAAAAGGTCTTACAGTTGTTGGAATTACAATGGAAACAAAGGATGCCAACAATGGCAAGTCACCTAAAAGATCCAAAAAATCATCACCTTCAAATGGATATGCTAAAGTTGTATTGTGTGTTGTCCGTGACTATGATTTAGAATAGGGTTATGGGAAAATGAAAGTGAATGGGTGGTTTTATAAAGAGAAAAGTACAGTAAATGGGCCCAAAAGTACTTGGGCTAGAAATTTACATTATGCTTTTTCATATTTTGTTACATGGTCTTTAACGTTGATATAAAATAAATATGCAGGGAATTAAATGTTGCCATAATTTAAGTAGGAACGAAAACAAAACAATTACTTTAAGAAAGAACGATTGAAAGACAAGTAGTTCACTTGAAGCCCAAAAAAGATACAGACACATGACATAATAAAGACCAGAGTAATTTGCCCCAAATAACAAAACATAAAAACCATGGTCATGAGCATATCCAAACATTAAGATTTACTCATTACAATTATCAAAATTAAACAGCAAGAAAGACAACAGATTAAACAATACTGATACTTATTTCTCTATTTTAATCTGCTTGTTAAGCTTGTTTGAGGAGAGTTCACCATCAGCATGGTTGATTAAGGTTGTGGTTTCACTCGACCCATTAGGATTCAATCTCTTTGTTGTCGGTGTGACTGGATCCGGTTTGATTTTGGAAGTAACTTCAGTTTCCTATAAAAAAACGTGAATGTATACATTAGGCAGGGCCGTCTTTGAGGGTGTGCAAGATGGCCTACCGCACATGGCTTCAAAAATCTCAAGGTTAACTTAAGGATAAATGGGACCTCATAAAATATTTTTCAGCTTAAATTGTGATTATATAGGGCCTCTATTTGTTTTTTCCTTGCTAAATTCTGACTAGCCTACACAGGGCCTCCAAAAACATGAGACGACCCTGATTAGGTTCATAAAAAAAATAGGTGGCCACATTTAAAATGTCTAAATCATGGTTCATAACATACAGTTAAAACTTCAGAATCATCTATAACATTAGCCTCATCAACACTTTATTTAATCTAATATAAATGAAACCAAGGTTGTCAGCATAAGATATAAAGAGATGATACATAAAACAAAATTACTGGGCATATTGTTATAGTTATTAGATAAAGGAAACACCTAAAGCAATGGTGTTGGTGGCAGGTCAATTAGTTGTACATCATTCGCTCCACAGAATTCCTTAAGTTGTTTGATCACATCACCCATCCTCGGGTACGGATACCACTGAACAATTATCCCAAAGTGTCTGCCATTTAACCTTAAAAGCCTTTTCTTTACCCAATAGTTTGTCAAGTGCTAATGGATACTCAAGTGGATCAGTAATCCCACCCTAAAGACATTATGCAAAGTCTACCATATAAGAAAACATTTTCTTTTGTAGAATAATGAAAGGAAAATTTTACACAACATATTAGTAAACCTTAATCATCACGTTGCGCATCTGAGCAGCAGAAAGCTCTAACAGTTGTTCACTTTTTGTATCCCACAACACAAATTTACAACGACATCTGCGATGAACAACTTTAACTTGTATCTTGAACCTGAAAATTTTGCAGAATAGAAACAACCAAAAGTCAAGTATCATGCACATAACACGTCAATAAGTTTGAAAGCAACAATTTTATTTTGTATATAACCTAAATATTTCAGCCTCAGTCAAACATTCCACATCGCATTTGAAGGGAGCTTTGTTGCCCTTGTAACTTTAGGACATTGGTGACATGCTTGATAGTACCAACCGTATTGGAACGCGATCAACTTGTCAATTTTTACAACCGTAATACAAAAAGTATCCTAAAAAAACACACATTAGTATATGTTAAAATCAAAAGTGTAGCCAGGAATGTTAAAATTTGCCTTTAATATATGCATACTTTTTTTAGTTGCTTGATTTCAGCAATTGGAAGTACAACAACTTTAGACATGAATTTTTGGTAAGGAGAGAGCTGAGAGTTAGATGAGTTTTGTGACCATACTTGAGATTGGGAACTAAGTTTGGTGGTGCGAATAGCCAATGTGTCTTTTGGGATGCTATAACAAATCAGTAAAGTTGAATCATATCTTAAAAGGCTATAAAAGAATTATTGAGTGAGTAGCAAACATAATTGACATGGATTATAATATCACCTTTTCATGAAGTCCTTAATTGGTTTGAAATCTTTGTTGATGGACAACTTAGTTACGTTGTAGGTGTTTGAAACAGAAAGTGGATATTTTCCTACATAAAAGGAAAAATCAGAAAGAAATTATGCTACCTAAAATAAACAATTAGTTGTATTTGACACAATAATAAAGAACAATGTGAAACCTTCTTCTTTTAATTTTTCATATTGTAGCAAGATGACATTTGGACAGGATGGATCACTTTTGGTTTGATTGTATTTGATAAACTGCTCAGCATGGGATTCCCAAAGCGTGCAGTTGATTGTGTTGTTGTTGCGGAGTTATCAACAAAGTTTAAAAACTATAAAGGTATGCATGGATCATATATATGTTACATAGTAAACATACCACAAGTCTCTCATAACAAAATTGACCTGCATTTTTTCATCCGTCATGCCAACGATGTCTGCATAACAATAAAGTTATAATTAGACTTCATCATGATAGTCAACAAAGCAAGGGAATTAATATGGAGTAACAGAACCATTACCTATCAATACATCCTTTTTCCATTTCCCATTAATAATATCACTGAACGAAATAGTTTCGATAATTTTCTCAGGAATTGAATGTTTGTTTAAATCTCTAACAGTGGTTCCTCCGATAAATTTCAAAAGATACTTGTGGTTGGAAGGTTTGAAGACAACTTCGTTGAGTTGAACCTAAAATTTTGATATAGTGATGGCGTCGTTAACAGACATCTGGGAATCGTAAATCTGGCTATACAGTGGAGGAATAACGGCATGGATATTAGTCCCCTGAAAAATAAAATAAACCATTATTTTCAATCAACATTGGCATTCTTCTGAACTTTTGAAATACATTCAACCAAACAAATACAAAAAACCCAGACATCATGAAGTACCACATTCAATCAATAAAGGAGTGGAATACAAAATCACGAAAACAAACAAAAGAGCAGTATAAGAAGCAAACTCAAACGTCTTACCAAAATCAAAATTTCAAAACAAACTAAACAGCATATACGATATATGTAACGATACTTGAAATACATCTAAAAACTTAGTATACATCATGAAATCACCTCTTTGTCAACCACAATCATCTCAAAGTGATTCTTGGTGTTCGAGATGACATTCCATTTATGGTGAACCTTTACAGCAATTTTCTAGAGTTCTTTTTTGTCGCAAATGTCCTTGACAAATTCAAAGGGTCTGACCATTGAAGGAACAAACAAATAACCTACAAAGATAGAAGAATAGAATGCAGGTTAGATATTCCATACACAACAAAATAATACAAATCAATGTCGGGTATAATATTAGGAAAAAGCATATAAGCAAAGATGTGGATGCAATAAAAGATTGAATGCATGTTTATTTATAGGATGGAAGAAGAAACGAAATGCTTTGAAAGAAGAAAGGATTAGAAAGCATTGGTAATGACATAAAATTTATCTCAAAAGCAAGTGAGCCGAAAATTGAAAGGATTCACATAGATCAAAACAAAAGATTGATGACTTGAGAGAAAATATATAAAATCGTCCAATCATATTATTTAGTCATGAACACCATTTAATATTTGCGGCCAATCTTTTGAAGACATAAATAACCCTCCAAAAAATTTTTTAGCCTATTTTAAAAAAAATCAAAACTGAACTTTCCACAATATATTCCTTTCTTATATGGTAGATATTATATATACTAAATCTATTATTTATCAGTATTTAATAATTTAACATAAAAATATATAAAATTTGAATATTTAAAAATAGATCTAAACTAAACTTAAATTTGATCGGATTGAATTGAATTTTTTAATAAATCATCCAAAATCAAATCGAACAAGGTAAATTAATTTTTGAATCAGATGATTTTTTACGTCAAAATTGATCTAAACGGCACCGCAAACACCCTAGTCGTTAATGTCTAATTGCAATTCATTCTTTAAAAAATTTCACATATGTTTTTAAAAATAAAAATGATACTTTAACACTTAAAATTGGGTGTCAAAAATGTGTCAAGTGTAAATTTTAGATGTAATAGTATATTACTCGAATTTTCATGTAAATCTATAAAATGAAAAAGTATGAAAGAAATAAGGCTTTGTTCCAAATACATCCCCTGAAGTCCCCCGAGTCGGACGGCTTACCGGACCTTTTTTTTTCAAAAGTATTGGCACTTTGTTAGGAGGGACATCAAAGAGTTGGTGTTGGCTTAATAACGAGAAAGATCCTTCAGACATGAACAAAACCTTTATTGCTTTAATCCAAAAGTGTAAGAACCATACTTCCCCGAAAGATTTTCGTCCCATTAGCTTGTGCAATGTGGTTATCAAACTTGTAACCAAAACAATTGTAAACAAGATAAAGCCTATCTTGTCGGAGATTGTGGATGAGGAGCAAAGCGCTTTTGTTAAAGGGAGGATCGTTATGGATAATGCTTTAATCACGATGGAGTGTTTCCATTGGATGAAAAAGAAGAAAAAGGGGAAGAAATGAGTTATGGCCCTTAAGATTGACATGTCTAAGGCGTATGATCGGCTGGAATGGGGTTTCGTGACTAGCACTTTAGAGACCATGGGATTCCCTTCACCTTTGATCTCTTTGATAAGATGTTGCATATCCACTGTGTCTTACTAGATTCTTCTGAATGTGCAGCCAGGTCAAATTTTTTCTCTGGATAAAGGGCTTCGTCAAGGCAACCATTTCTCCCCTTACCTGTTTATTCTCTATGTAGATGTGTTATCGGTTATGCTCAAGAAGGAGGTCAGCAACAACAATATTCATGGAGTTAAGGTGGTGAGGCATACACCTTCGATTTCTCAATTATTCTTTGCGGATGATAGCTTGTTGTTTACTATAGCCAATACTAAGGAAACAGGTTGTGTGATGGGAGTGTTGGCCGACTACCAGATTGCTTATGGGAAAGTGGTTAATCTCGACAAATCGGAGGCTTCTTTCAGTCGAAATGTTCCAGATGAGAGTAAATATATTATCCAGAATAGGATGAGGGTAAAGACTGTAGCGAATTATGTCAGATACCTGGGGCTTCTCGTGGTTTTTGGCAGATCAAAGAAAGAAGTTTTCTCTTTTGTTGTTGATTGTGTTTGGAAGAATTTGAAAGGTTGGAAGGAGAAATTTCTCTCCCTGGCTGGCAAAGAGGTGCTCATTAAAGCGGTGGCTCAGGAGATCCTGAACTACATTATGGGTTGCTACAAGATTCCGGAGGAACTGTGCAACGACATTAAGTCCATGATAGCCAAGTTTTATTGGGGTTCCAAAGAGGGAGAAAGGGAAATTCACTGGTTAAGTTGGCAAGAGTGAAAGGTGTGGAGGGCTTGGGTTTTCGCGACATAAGCGATTCCAATACCAGCTTGTTGGGAAAACAAATGTGGAGATTGCTTTCGTGAAACTCGTCTCTTCTATCAAAAGTCTTAAAACAGAGATATTATCTTACTTGATTCTTGAGGCAAAACCAGATTTCTCTCCGAGTTATGCTTGTAGAAGCATTTTAAAATCTTGGGAGCTGATTGATGCGGGGGCTAGGTGGAGGATTGGGAATGGGGAGAATGTTTAGATTTGGGGTGATTGTTGGATTCCCGGTAATGCGGGCTTCAAAGTCCATAGTGGTGTTCATGTTCTGAGTAATGAAGCCACTGTTAATAGCCTTATTGATCATGATTTACGCGTGTGGAAAATGGGCCTAATTAAGGATTACTGCGATACTTTTGATGCCTCCCAGGTGCTTAGCATTCATCTATCTTGGAACAGGTTAGAAGACATGCTTATTTGGCATGGAGAGAAAGATGAGGAGTTCACTGTAAAGTCTACTTATCACCTCATGGATGCAAAACGTGATGTTACTGTTGTAGGACCTTCGAGGCCACCAAACAAAGATTTGTGGAAAAAAATATGGCAGACTCATGTGCACATAAGGGTGAAAATTTTCCTTTGGAGACTGGCTAGGAACATTCTGCCCACCTACCAGAATCTAAGGAAAAAAGGTATGAATCTCAATCTGTCTTGTCCTCTTTGTGATGCTTCATTGGAATTTCCCCACCATTTGTTTCTTTCTTGTTCCGTGGTGAAATTGGTGTGGTTGGAATCCATTTTATCCTCCCCTGATCCGGTCAGTATTCAGTTGATTTGTGTGGCTCTGTGGAGTATCTGGTACTATAGAAACCAATGGCTTTTCCAAAAGATTCCCTTTGTTCCACGGGTTGTGGTGGAGAGCGTGGCTGATTTCCTTGTTGAGTTTAATTCTGAGAACCTAGGACTGAGGTTTAAGAAAAAACATGTTGTTTTTTATAATGGAGGGAATTGCCCCAGGAACTTTGTTTGTTTACAGGTCGATGCAGGGTGCTTCCCGGACAACTATAGTGCCTTCGGATGAGTCGTCAAAAACCACGAGGGGAATGTCCTAATCACTGCCAGCAAAAAGAGAAAATCTCGGTCGATCCTTGCATGGCAAAAGCTCTTGCTATTAGATGGGGTTGCAGCTGGTTTCTGAGTTAAAGTTTGATAGAGTTATCATCCAGTCTGATGCACAAGTGGTCGTAGATTGTGTGATCTCGATTTCCTCTATTGCGGTTTTGGATCCTATTATGATGGACTGTAATGTGTTAATTAGTAACTTGTCTGATTGTGTTGTTATGTTTATTAGAAGAGCTTTAAACTTTGATGCACACCATATGGTTGGTGTTGGTAGGAACTATGGCTCCAAAACCTGGTTGGATAGCCCAAAGCACGAACCGTGTATTCCCGTTTACTGTTAATGAAACAATGTTTACATAAAAAAAAGGTAAAATGTTCTTTTTTTTATCTCATTGACGTCAAAGTTCATTTTGATCCTTTAATTTTCAAAAATTCATATTGATCATTTAACTTTTCAAAATGTTTTATTTTTGTCTTTTTTATCTAAATAGCAACGGAAAAAATTAAAAATCGATCATTAAATTTATCATTAATTAATTTAAAAAAACTAAAAAAAAACATTTTGAAGAGTTTATAAATTAATATAGACTTCTTTTAAATTAAATAACTAAAATAAATCTTGACGTTAATATACATGTAAAAAAACATATTTTGCCTAAAAAAGACATTAGTATATGATTATATACGGTGTTACATATGTTGTAAAATTTTGGAGGTTCAAAAAACACAATCTTTTAAAAAAAACTGACAACTTGTATTCATCTTCGGTGCTTAGCTGATGAGACAGTTGCCTTTCTCTGTTGCAAGAAAATTTTGCCATTTTGGAGTATGTCCTGGTATTGACTGATATAGATACATTGGTATGAAACAACAAATCTGAATTTCTGAAGTATCCTCCAATGGCTGTTAGAAGAAGAAACGCGCTTATTCTCATAAGCACTTTTTCAAATAATTTCTCCACCATTTCTCATCATCATCACACTTCTCATTACAGAAAACAAATCTCCCTCGCTAATCTCTTCCAATCCTTCGGTTTCCCCTCCTCCATCCTTCACCGTTTCCTCTCCCACAACAACTTCCTCCTCAACTCCGATCCATCACAGCTTCGCAATTCACTTTCCACTCTCTTTTCCTTCCGAATCCCACAGAAAACCCTAATTTCACTCGTTCACGATTGCCCTTCTGTCTTAGAACCCCAATTTCTACATAATTGGGAATCAGCTTTTCCAAAATTCAAATCCAACGCCTTTAACCCTTCCCCGTTGATGATCGCAAGCTTGTTGCGTTGTTCTAGAAAATTCCAGTTAAACCCACTTCAACTCTCCCTGAAAGTTAAAATTTTTAAGGGTTTAGGGTTTTCTGACGATGTTACAGCTAGGGTTTTGGAAGAGTTTCCCAGCGCGGTTGTGATGAGTGAGGATAAAATTGTTGGGGTAATTGATTTTCTAGTGGAATTCAGTGTTCCGAGAGATGAAATCGACAGAGTTGTTAGATTGTATCCTAGGGTTTTGGGATTTGGAGTTGAAGATAGGTTGAAGCCGCTGATTCATGAGATGAGGGGTTTAGGGTTTTCTCGACGCGAGATTAAGGCAGAGGTTGTTAGGGATCCCGGTATTCTGGGAATGGAGATCGGGGAGTTTTCGCGGTGTTTGAAGCTTTTGCATAGTTTGAAATGCAGGGAGGCAATTAAAGAGAGTATTCTGGGGGATGGTTTGGTTAGGGCTTGTTTTGGAGTGAAACTGCGAGTGGATTGTTTGTGCGGTCACGGTTTGATTCGGAGGGATGCTTTGAAGGTGTTATGGAAGGAACCGAGGTTGATGAGTTATGATTTGGAGGATATTGAGAAGAAGATTGAGTTTTTAGTTCAAAGGATGAAGTATGGTGTTGATTGTTTGCATGAAGTTCCGGAATATTTGGGTGTGAATTTTGAGAAACAGATTGTTCCTAGATACAATGTGATTGAGTATTTGAAAGGGAAAGGTGCAATTGGGTTTGAAGTTGGATTGAAGGATATTATCAAACCAACTAGGCTTAGATTTTATAATCTTTATGTTAAGCCTTATCCAGAATGTGAAAAAATATATGGCAGATTTTCAGGTAAGGTTCAAGTTAAAAGAAAGCATCCGGATGGACTTTGGAAGCTGTTCAAACCACAGAAGTTTCATCAAACCAGTAAAGATGTGAAGAACATGAAGGCTTTTATGGACTCTTCACTGGTGTAGTGGTTTGATTTGATCAATGTATATTGTTTGTTGGACTTGGATGAATGATCCATGAGACCATGACATGTTTTGTGTTAATACCAAGTAATTTAACAACTATGGTTCTTTGATTTGTTGATGAAATTAACCTAGTTTTGGGAATAGTTATCATCATATTGTAATGCTAAAGGAACACATGCTCAAAGAGTTGGTACTCGTAAAAATTAGGCATGTGTGGCTACTTTTATACTTTCAAATGCTGAAACACAGGATATGAGAACAAGAGAGCAAGATTTTTGTTTTGTGGGAATAAGCACTTGATATTGAAACTTGTCCAAAACATACAACAATAAGCAACTAACATTTAATGTTGTCTTTTTATCTTATATTTTCAAACTGTGTGTGTCTTGATTATTACTCTCTCCGATGTTTTATAATTGTCACTTTTAAATTTTTTTTACAAAAAAAAATAAAATAATCATTGTGGTTACTTTTTCAATAATAAATTTTATTTTACCTACAATACCTCCAGTTATTTGTCACATGTATTTGACTTTTTCTTTCACGGCAATAAATAATTAGGGATAATTTTGGCAAAATGGTAATTAATATTATCTTAAATTTTATAAGTGACAATTAAAAAGGAATAAAAAATTATTTTAAAAGTGACATTTAAAAAGGAACGGAGGGAGTATTATTTTTTTTAAAAAAACCTAGTCCCTTTGACCTTTTAATCTCTTCTCGACAAGGTTATCATCATGAAAAGTGTTCTTGACTGTTTGACCTCTCGTATTCAACACTTGTCTTTGTCAATTTCTTGAAGTCCTACTTCAACTTTGTAATAATAGTTCAATCATTCTATTAGGGCCCTTCTCTAATCGAGCCACGGATTATCAGAGTTTTTCTAAAATGTTGAAAAATCTGGTAGTGTAAAATCACTTTTTTTTTTGAAATTTCGTGCATTATCAGACTTTTAGATGGACTACAAAAAATCTGGTAGTTTAAATTTACACAGTTGAGATTTTGCGGACAGTTTTGTAAGAATGTGATTGCACCGACAATTGTGTGTGGTCCATATTGAATCTAAACTTTTATAAATAGGGATCATGTGTTGTTAAAAAAAACATCTTAGAATGTCTCAATATTCGTTTATGGCAATTATGTCCTTCAACGATGTGAAATCTCCTGTTGATTTTCGACTTCCAGGGAACACCACTAATCTCACTGATCAAAGATCCTTATTAGATAATTTGTTTCCCCACACCTAGAAAAGAAATGTGGGTAAGATCAAGTTTCGTGTACCATGAATTGATACTTAAGGAAATGTGAAATACAACAATATTGTGCAGAAGACTGGTAAAGATTTGAAGGTTATGTGAAGAACATATCACTGTAGGCAAACAAATGAATCAATTGAGTTTGTTGTGACAATTGTTAGATCTATCACGATATAATCAAGATTAAAGACTACTATTATTGGTCAGGCATGATGAAAAATAACGCATAATGGTAAAAAAAAATGTGATAAGTGTTAGAGAAATTCAACTTTGCACCAAGCCTCAACTAAAATCATTCAATTTGTGACTTCTTCCTGATCGTTATATCAATGAGGCATGGACATCCTTTGTTTTTTCCCTTGGACTAGGACAACTAAAGTCTCTGCTTGTGGGCATGGATTACCAAATGGATCGAGACATAAATGGTGTCCAAAATCACTACAGAAAGAGTCTAGTACTTCTATAATAAGTGATTAATTTGCAAGTTCAGGCTACCAAGGTACACCGTCTTTGATAATGGAACTCAATTTGCTAGCTAGATTATGGTGGAGTTCTGTCACCAGCTCGAAATTCAAATGAAGTTCGTCTCAGAGGTGCATTCTCAAGCCAATGGACAAGTCAAGTCAACTAACAAGGTCATCCTTTGTAGAATAAAAAAAGTTTGATGAGGCCAAGGTCTTATGGTTTGAACAATTATATAAGCATAGATTTTTCCATTTATTTTTATCATCTGACTTTGTCTTATTTTATACTTTTTGCCCACGCCATGGACCATTCTGTAAATGTAACTTCGAAAAATACATAGGTATCGTGGTCGTATAACACGATCCTTCATTCCTTCACTAAGGGGACACACTTCAAAACGGTTTATGGCGGCGATGCCTTATCAGCTATTGAGATCTACATGCCCACCTAACGCATAAAAACTTCAATGAATAAGGTATAACATCTCAGTGACGTTATTGTTTCTTTATATACTAATAAAAAATATAACCACCTTTTACGTGATTTACATCTTATAGATTAATTTTGTGTTATGTAAAAAAAATGAAACAGGACTTAGGTGCATGAGTGGCCTACTCTACAAATCTCGAGAGATCACCCACATCCAAAAATATGCAGTCAAACAAAGAGATGCTAGAAGATATACTTCCAGAATAGTCCCAAGGGATAAAAAGGAAGTTAACCTTGTGCTCAAACAAGTCGTGGTGCCTACTCAAATGGGGAAGCTACTCGTCAACTGGGAAGGGCCTTACTGAATACACTGAAGACTATCTCATGGTGTCAACATACTGAAGGAGTTGGATGGAAGCCTCGTCCAAAAAATCGGGAACTCAACAAATTTGAGGCAATACTATATCTAGTCTATTACTTTACTAATGAAATAAGGCGATGATATGAATTCCTCCATTGTATATGTTTTAAACTCTTTTAATTAATAACATGAGTATGGTGACACTCTTTTTCCCTGCAAGGGAAGGGGTTATTAACGAGGCATTCTATTTTCTCAACTTCATTATTTATTAAACTTTAAAAATATTTCACCTTGTGAGGCATTTTCACTTGAACCTTAAGGGGTATAGTTTATGCCATATGGGATATCATCAGTTTAACCCTAGGGGGTATCGTTGCATCCCTACAGAGTATATTTCTTTAAACCATAAAGGGGTATCAATGCCTCCTTATTAGGTATCTTCACTTGAACCTTACTTGGTATCATTTCTGTCCTACTAGATATTTTTGCTTGAATCCTAAGGGGTATGATTACCGTCCTAAGAGGTATCTTTGTTTGAACAATAAGGGACATCATTGTCGTCTTGTAGAGTATCTTCGCTTGAATCCTAAGGGGTATCATTTCCCCCTAGTGAGTATTTATGTTTGAATCATATGGATTATCATTTCCACCCTATGGGGTATCTTTGCTTGAACCCTAAGATATCATTTCTTCCCTACAGGGCATCTATCTTAGAAAAGAGAAAGAACATTTATGCAAACAAGAAAAGGTTGAGGAGAATAGCTTAATACACAAGATTTAATAAGCATGTTTCCAAAGGCGCCCCTAAAAGAGGCAACAATACAAAATTCTTTCAAAGGGTGATATTACAATGATCTCCACGTAACGAGGGAAAACATCTAAGTGTTAGACAGTGTAGATTCATCTACCTCATAAATGAACTCATCCCTTTCATTAGCAGCGTGGGGGATCTCAGGTATTTGAGGATCTTAGACTCAAATACTGTAAAAGGAATCCCAACTCCTAAGTCATAAATGACAGGGAGTTATGTGTAAAAGAACTTTCCCTTTGATTCCGACGACACTCTCATATTAACCCTTTCACCCTTGTCGCATGGCCTTAATATGACATCGCCTTTCTGGCTTATAGCTGACGAGTATAAGCCCTTACAAAACAAGGGTATCATATCCTCATTAATGTAGAGGGTCCTAGTATCATCAATGTCTCCATGTCTAGTAGTAGTCTCCAATGACAACCTTGTTTGTTTTGGGAAAGAATAAAACAAAGCAAGATCGTTATCGTTGTCATTATTGTCGTCAAAGTTAGAACTACTAAAATTGTATAGCTCTCAAATATTCCTAACTCCACAAGATTTCAATAGACCCTCCCATTAGGCCGCTTTGAATTTGGCACACAATGTTCCCACATCTCATAGATACATTCTTGTGTCATGGATTTTACTACATAATCATTTTCATCTAACTACCTCAGAATCTTCATTTCTATAATGAACAATAAAATGATGGAAAGGGGAAAACTCTCAATACCTGGAGAGTATTTGGTTTGATGATGGATACGGTCTTGAAGAAGAAATCCCTAAGAAAGTGCAAAGATAAATGCAGAAGGAAACAACGAGAGGGGAAGAATTGTGACTCATGTTTTTATAAGGTCTAATTTGCCCCTAGACCGAGTAGGGTCATCATCACCCAAACAATAGAGTTGTACCTACTGATACAAGAGTAGAGCATCAATGGTCTTTGCTACAAGCATGCAATTATATTGACGACACATATCCCTTGAACCTTCCCAAAGAATTTTCATCATAACATACCATTAAATGCCCTATGGATCCAAAGAACCCAACTGTCATACCTATCTCAGTCATGACCATAACAACATGGGAAGTCACACCTAAAACTGAGTATGACATTGTTGCTCTTCTAGGCTTCACACTTAAGGAACTCTCCCTTCTAGGCCTCACGTCTTAGGAACTCTCCCTTCTAGGCTCCGAGCCTGAGGGACTCACCCTTCCAGGCCTTCCTGCTTGAAGGATATGTCCTTCCTTCCAGATCTTGTACTTTAAGGATTTGCCCTTCCAAGTCTTGCACCTAATGGACTTTATCTTGCACCTAATGGACTTTATCTTCTAGGATTCGTGCCCCCCCAAAGAATTTTCATCATAACATACCATTAAATGCCCTATGGATCCAAAGAACCCAACTGTCATACCTATCTCAGTCATGACCATAACAACATGGGAAGTCACACCTAAAACTGAGTATGACATTGTTGCTCTTCTAGGCTTCACACTTGAGGAACTCTCCCTTCTAGGCCTCACGTCTTAGGAACTCTCCCTTCTAGGCTCCGAGCCTGAGGGACTCACCCTTCCAGGCCTTCCTGCTTGAAGGATATGTCCTTCATTCGTGGATCGTCTAATCTAGCCTTAAAGTCAAGCTATGTATGGTTTTTTCTCCATTACTCGGTCACATTTCTCTTCTTACTTCTTATTA